ACACCCTAAACCTCAACCCCTAAACCCCTCAAACTCTAAACAGTCACCCCCCAAGGCTGATCGGTCCTCAGCCAGAGAATCTACCGTCGTCTGAAACGCCTGAGAAGGCAAACTAAGCGGCTTGAAGGCTAAGGATTCTATTTAGGGGTTTAGGGTTAGGGTTTAGGGTTTAGGGTTTAGGGTTTAGGGTTTAGGGTTTAGGGTCCAGGGTTTAGGGTTTAGGGTTTAGGGGATTTTGCAAGGTTTAGGGTTGAGGATTTAACTTGAGGTTCTTGATGGGATCTTCGGGTTAAGGAGTTTAGGATGTTGAGTGCTTCTAGACTCTAGGGGTTTGCTAAGGATTTGGTTTAGGGCTTAGGGTTTAGGGTTTAGGGCTTAGGGCTTCGAGCTCTAGTTAAAAGGCAACACTAAGCCGTTGAAGGGTTGGAGGGGTTTAGGGTTTTGGATAAAAGGTTTAAAGGTTAATCCGAACCACAAGGAACTACAGCACATTCTTCCGAACCAACACACTGACCTAAACTAAACCCCAAACCTTAAACCCTAAACCCTACAAGCCCTAAACCCCAAACCTTAAACCCTAAAGCCTAAACCCTAACCGTGAGCTCCGGACTTAAACACCCACATCCTTGAGCTCTTCCTTAACTCCAAGGTCAGCCGAACCCGAAACATCCCCCAAACTCTAAACTCGTTTAGGGGCTTAGGCTTTTAGGGTTTAGGGTTTATAAGTTTAGGGTTTAGGGTTTAGGTTATAGGTTTAGGGGTTTAGGGTTTAGGGTTTAGGGTGTAGTCTCCATTGTAGTTCCTTTTTAGGGTACCTTATAGGAACCCAAACTATATATAACTGGTTAAGCCACAGAAAGGAACTACCATGGAGACTCTAAGGTACCCGTAAACCCCTAAAACCCGAAAGCGCCCAAAAAGGGCCCCCCTTGAGCCTTGTGTAGGCGCTGGATCTCAGTCGGCTGCGCCAGCTGCTGCCAGAGATCCGCCCTTTGCTTAGGGTTTTCCGTGAACTACCAAAAATCCAGGGGACCTCTAAGATAAGGATGACAGAAGTTCCTGAACAAAATCCTTATAATGTTAATCCCTAAAGCCTTGGGCCTAAGCCCTAGACAAAGTGGTTTTTGTTGGGGGTTCAGGTGGGTTTGTAAGTCTGGAGCCTTTCTTGTTCCAGTCGGCTTGGCTATGCTTTAGCCGTCTTGGCGTGTTTCTTGTTCATGTTTTGTTTCTTTTCCTCGTGGTTTGGGCATTAGCTGAATGAACGATGTCGGCCACACCCTGTGCTGAGACTTTTCTGAACTAATGAAAACAGATGACGGTCGAGACTTCGAAGTAGCACCAAGGTCTGATTCCACTGGGCAGAGCTTGCACATGCATTGATTGCAGAACACAGCGTGCTTGCATCTGCAGGCACGGTGTGCCTCTGCATCATTTCGAGAACATCTAAAGCTGCTTCCCAATGCCCCGACCGGCTACAGGCTCGGAGCGTCGCGCTACAGGCGATCGTGTTGGGCTGCAGCCGCTTTCGAAGCGAATCCTGCAGAATCAATAGGGACTCTTGCCATCGTAGGGCCTTCTCACAGGAACTGATCACGGAAGCGTAGCTGATCAAGTTAGCTTCTAGATGTCGCAACTCCATACATTTCAAGATATGCAGCGCTTCAACCCACTGTCCAGACTGCTCACATGCACTGATGGTCGCACTGAAGGTCACGACGGTAAGGTCGACAACGGTCTCAGCAATCTTTAGCAGATGGATAGCTGCCTGCCACTGTGACACACGCTCGCAGGCTGTGATTGAAGCATTGAAGGCGATAACGCCGAGCTGTATGTCTGTCTCCTGGAGTGTGTGCAGCAATGCGATGGCTTTTTGCCACTCCATGCCGTTCGCGCACGCACTGATAGCTGCGTCATAAGTGACCACATCTGTCTGCAGCAGTCTTGCATGGACATCACTCAGTAATTGAACGGCGAATTGCCACTTTGCTGCACTGCCGCATGCACTAACCGCTGCGTTCAGCACGATGATGTTTGTTTTTATCCGTCGGTGCCCAACCTCTTCCATCAAGGATAAGGCCCTTTGCCATTGACTTGCCTTTTCGACAGAACTCATGGCCGCAGCATACGTTACGACATCGGGATTCAACACGCGGCCTCGTGCCTCTACAAACTGCTGCAATGCCTGCCGCCATTCACTAGCCGCTCCACAGGAACTGATGATGGCATTTACCACGACAATGCTTGGCTTCAGCATGTGATCTTCAAGATCCTTCAGAAGGGCCATGGCTGTCTGCCAGTGTGCCGACTTTTCACAAGCACTGATGGCCGCACCTGAATGCTGATGTAGGGAACTAACGTACTTATAACCTTGCTTACTGAAACCCTTTGAGAAGCCCTTGCCTACTGTCCCATGATCCTCCAAGTAGGACCTAGCAACACGAGCGCTGAGATTTTTAAACCCAAACCCAATAGGGTACTATACGGGTTTAGGGTTCAGGGTTTAGGGTGCTATAAGAATGTGGGGTTCAGGGTTCTTTAAAGAAACCCTTAGTTTAAAGGAACCCCTGAAAGGAACCCATAAGGGCTGCACAGTACGTGATGACGTCCACTTCCATGGAGCTCAACTGGACGTGTCCTTACTTTGCCCAGTATCCTGGGAAACTTAAATGTTTGGGGCTTAGGGTTTAGAGTTTGGGGCTTAGAGTTTCTGGTTTAGGGTCTAGGGTTTAGGGGATGATGGTAACCGGTACCCCCAAAAAAGGTCAAAGCTGCTTGCTCTACTACTAAGGTTACTCTAATTCCAAAACCCTACAAACCTAAACCCGAAGATGCTAGTACATTAACCCTTGCCCTCAGAGGACTCATACCTTAAGGCTTTTGGGCCCAAAGACCCTATTATAGAAGGCTTTTGGGCTATTGTGATGCTGAGGGTAAGTGTCGAAGCATCGCCAAAGCCTGTGGCCACTGAGCAGCTTTCTGACAGGCGCTGATCACAGCACTGCAGCTGATGATGTCGGCCTACATTGGGTCTAGGGTTTAGGGTTAGGGCCCCAGAAAAGCACATAAGCAAAAACTAGGATAGGGATATCCCGATATCCCATATAAACCCACTTATAGTGAAGCGCAATAAGGTAGGGATATCCCTAGAACATGCTTACGCTTATGTCCTTTTGGGGTCCCTGATACATTCCACTAAGGGTGCGCGCAGGTTCCTTTACGGGGTTCGTTTACATGTTCCGAGAAGGGTGTAACATCGAGTCTTTATAAGTTTTGTATGGGACGTGTACCTATATAGCCTTCACCTAGGCTTCAAAACAGGATTCCTCTAAAGGTACTTTATAGTAGTTGTGATCAAAGTTTACATACTAGAGGGGCGCATAGACCATGAGGGTTTGTCGACTCAGAAATAAGTTCTTCTGAACCTATGGCGAGAATCCTCCATAAGTTTCAACGGAACATTACTAGAGGATATTGGAATCTCATATTTGGGGATGCCAGGGTTTACTAGAGTCAGGGACTTGCTTTTGGTAAATTCCACTCAAGGCTTATCAGAATTTACATGCCCTGTTGAGATGTCATCGGCCTGCAAAGAGCTTTCCTCCGCAAGGCACCTCAGCTGCATGTACTATAGAGGCCTTATAAATAAATAAAGTTTGGTTTTGTGGTATTTTAGGTTATGACTACAATGGAATCCAAAAAAATAGAATTGGTCGTCACTTACAGTGGGCCCCGGTAGTAACCAGGTGACTAGGCCTCCCTGTGGTAGTGGGTCCAAAGGACGGCGAAACCCTAAATCCTAAACCCCTGAACCCTAAACCTTAAAACCCTAAACTCTAAACCCCAAAAACCCAAACCTTAAAACCCTAAGCCCTAAACACAAAACAAACCCAAACCTTAAAACCGTAAACCGAGGACCGAGGAGTGTGGCAGACTGCCAGTTGGCAGACGATGCAACTTGTCTGTCCAGTGCTGAATAGCCTAGCACATCTGAGGTAGACCCTGAGCCCTATCATATAGAGGCCTTGACAGATAGTATAGGGTTTTGGGGCCCGCTGTGCTATAACTATAATAAGGAACCCCCCCCTAAACCCTAAACCCTAAACCCTAAACCCTAATATAACTACAATAAGGAACCCCCCAAAAAACAAAAATAGTATAGGTAATTATTAAAGCCCCTACATTAGACTCTAGAAGCGCCCCATAGACCCAGAGTCTGAACCAAAGACCCTGAGCCCTCAAAAGCGCGAACCCTAAACCCTAAACCCTAAACCCTGAACCCTGAACCCTAAACCCTAAACCCTAAACCGGCTGGAGTCACAGTAAGCTCACGGCTTGCTCCCACCGACCGGATTTCTCGCAGGCACCTGGGTTGCTCTTTATTACCTGGCTAAAATTTTAACTTTTAGTACCCCTAATATCAAAAAGGCTAATCCTAAAAATGATAAAGCTATAAAGTGACTGTAAAATTCAACCAAGGCACTGATGGCTGTGTTGAAGCTAATGAGGTCCCCGTGCAGGCCATCGCCACTCTCCATCCTTGGGTTTTTTAGGGTTTAGGGTTTAGGGTTTAGGGTTTAGGGTTTGGGGCTCTGGCACACTTCCCGAAAAGCTGGAGACCCTACTTTAAACTAGCGTTCAGGGTCCCTGTGCCCAGCTAGTATATCATTTGGCCTTAAAGTAGTCTGTACATAAATATGTTAAATATGTGAAAGTCGAAAGCATACACTATCTCCCCAACCTTTGGGGGTCTACAGGCTACAGGTCCAGGGCGGAACGCGCGGCTTGGTTTGGGGGGCTGAAGAATAGTCACTGGCCGATTCCTTTGCAATTTCCACGACGTCATTCGCAGCTGAACTAACCCTATGGGTCCAAGCAATCCTTTACTCTCCCAAATATTACGCTAGATACATACTATCCGCAACCAACGTATCTTATTATTGCGTCCTTGGGACCCTTAGGGTAAAGCGCGGGCTAGCTACACCCAGCAAGCCTGAACTCTGAAACGTTAGAGAAAGCCCCAAAGCCTCAGGCATTTAACAATCCAAGGCAAAGAGCAACTCGATGAGCAGAACCAGGGCTTTGGACCACTCTGCAGCCTTCGTAGGTGAAAGGCTCTGCGTGGGGTGGGGGTTCTTATTTTGAGAGTAGGGGCCTTGCAAGTAGAATACGATTTTGGGGTATACTATACTGTGTACTATACCAGTAAGAAGTAAAGCTGAGAAATAGCTCTGACGGCTCTCTGTTTCTAGGCCCCAGACAGGGCCCGAAACCCTAAACACTATAGTGGCTTCGGACTGCAGGACCCGCGCTGCAATACACTGTACTCGCCACGCCTGTAACTTTAAACAGACATAATTAACACAATCATGATGTTAGCATGAACTCTAAACCCAAAGCTTCCACAAAACCCTAAATCCTGAACCCTAATACAGCAAACCACTAATGCCCTAAACCCACGGCCTCTTAACCCTAGAACCTTCGACCTTGAAGCCAAAGGGCTTAGGGTGTACTGTGGGGGCCTTAATAATTAGTATAGGGTTTAGGGGTTTAGGGTTTAGGTTTAGGGTTTAGAGTTAGTATAGGGTTTTGGGGGGGCTCCTTCTTACAATTATAGTATAAAATACCCCAAAACCCTTTTCCAATTATTCAGGCCCCTACATTATTTAAGGTTGAAGGCCTGCTCCAAAGCCATCATGGTGGAGTTGTAGGTCACAACGTCCGGCTGCAGCTTCTCCTGACGAAACCGTGCATACCCGAACCCCTACTTTAGCTCCGCAAGACGACGGACTATAACATTTTATGGACGCAGAAAAAGAGGAGCTCTGAATAGTTCTGAAGAAGTGCCCAGACCTTAAAGGATTAAGGAGTCTCTAACTTAACTTCAGTAGGGTCCCTAATATGATTTAAGGATCGTTCCTTAATTAGTTAAGTGATGATGGTGTTGATATACCCTAGTCCCCAAGAGCCTCAAACACCAAGCAACCCCAAACCCTACAATTTCAACCCTGCGCCCCGAAACTTTTATAATCACTGTCTCTCTCTCTCTCTCTATATATATATATATATATAGCTAGACTGTCATCTACCCCAAACCCCTGCCAAATTCGTCAGGCCGCGATTGACCATTGTACTTAGCACTTACTTATAACTCTTAGTCTGCTACTGGAGTGTAAGTGTATCCTCGCCAACCCAAGTCTTACCATCAAGGTCTCTATCCTGGACCCCTAACAAGCCATTCCGCGGATCCTTGGCGAGCTGAAGGAACCGAACTGCCCGCTGCCACTCTCTAGACCGTCCGCAAGCGCAGATTGTGGCATTGTAGCTGATGACATCAAGCGAGACCTTTCGAGTATCAGGGGTTTTGTGGGATTACTTGCTTCCGTTTAGGGGTTTAGGGTGTTGGGTTTACACAGCTAGCGTCTAGGCTTTTGGCAGTAGAGCTATAAGGTTTAGGAGGCTTGGGGTTTAGGAGACTATAATATACCAGCCCAAAGAAGCCTAAGTACCTATATGGGGGGGGGGATACTTACCCAAACCATTTTGTACTACAATATATCGGTTTTTAGGTTTCAGGATCGACTTGTGCCGTGAACCCTAAACCCTCAACCCTAAACACTGACCCGAAGGGTCCAAGTACCCAAATAGTAGAGTTTCAAGGTCCAAAAACCATTCAGAGTATGGATTTTGGGACCTAAAACCTTACTATTTGGGTACTCGGTCTGGCTGATGCACCTCGTCTGAAGCCGCGTGGAACAAGGAGACGGCCTGCTGCCACTCCGCAGCTCGGTCGCAAACGCTGATGGCAGCCTGGGCTCTTGTTAAGGTTTAGGGTTTAGGGTTTATAGGGTTTAGGGCTTAGGGTTTAGGGTTTTTTTTTAGTGCAATAGAACGGACTTTACGACCATCCCAGCCTCACGAGGCCTACACTAGTGAAACGCAGCCTCTCATTCAAGACCGCCACTATCGCCAGCATTTGGCACTGTGACATCATTTACATCCAAAGTGCCAGCGACATCAGGGTTTAGGGTTTAGGGTTCTTTTTAAGGACTTTGGCATAATGTAAGGCTCCTGTTGAACTGTAGAGGTTCTATGAGGCTCTAGGGCGTTCTTACTAAGAAATGTAGTTTGAGGAACCATAACAGCGAAACCATAATTAAGTATTATAGATTCCATCTTAGTAACTTCAAAACATTCCTCAACAAGAACCCTGCAGCATTGAAGGAAAAGGTATTGCGCCGGATCGTCCTGAGACACTAAAGGCCTAGGTTTTGTTGTCCAAGGGTCCATAGGGCTTAGGGTTTAGTGTTTTACGGACCCATATGGCATATACTTAAGCTTTTGATAAAGGGGTTCCCCATATTTAGACACTTCAGGGCCAACGTATGTAGCACCGTATAGGTACATGGACCGTTGGGGTCAAGTCGTCAACCCTGAATGCCCAAACCGCCATAAAAGCCTTGACCTTTCACCCACGATTCCAGACCCTGAGCGAAAAAAAACCAAGACCCGAAACCTTGAACCCTTAATATTGGGACCTGAATAAATACAGTAGGGTTTTGGGGCCCATTATACTATAATCACAATAAGGAGCCCCCAAAATTATATTGGTACTTGTTTAGGCCCTATACCCTAAACCCCTAAACCCTAAATCCTAACCTAACCCCTACACCCCTAAACCGTCAACCCTAAACCCTAAACCCTAAACCCCTAAACCCTAAACCCTAAACCCTAAACCCTAAACCCCTCAACCCTCAACCCTCAACCCTAAACCCTAAACCCTAAACCCTCAACCCTAAACCCTAGAACCCTCAACCCTAAACCCTAGAACCCTCAACCCTAAACCCTAGAACCCTCAACCCTATACCCTAAAACCGTGGGCTGGAGTGTCCTTGTCTCAGCTTCTTGGAGAAAATGCAAAGCGACCTGCCACTCTCTCTGTCTTCCTGGGTTTAGGGTTTTTGGGTTCAGGGTTGAGGGTTTAGGGTTTTAGGGTTTAGGGTTGAGGGTTTAGGGTTTTAGGGTTTAGGGTCTAGCATTTTAGGAGTTTAGGGGTTTAGCAAACTAGGGGTTTGTGTTTGGGAGCTAGGGGTTAGCATCAAAACCGCCCAGAAGCCTTATACAATAGGGTCTTTTGGCCCAAAAGCCTTTAGATATGAGTTAAGGGCACAAAGCCCTGGCATAGCCTAACACCCTACCTGAACCCCAAAAGTATGTAGAATAACGGCCCTTTATCGGTTTTGGGCCATAAGTTCTACCGACCTTTGGGAGTTTAGGCTAGGTATACCCAAAACCCTAGGCCCTAAACCCTAAACCCTGAACAACTCAACAGCACACAGCGTCTGCAGGCGCTGATACGACTCGTCAAGGCCTTTTCAGATCGGATTGCCACGTCCGCACTCAGAGAGCTCTGCATAGCAACGCCGGCCGTGAATTAGGGGTACGGTAGGTCTTATAGGGCTTTTCGGGGCTGATCTCCCGAAGGGTCCATGTACCCAAATAGCATATACTTTGGCCCCGAAATAGCTATGCAGGGACGTACATACTAGTTTGGTAGTGTTTCGTGCTTGAGGTTTGGGTGGGTCCCATGTCCTCAAAGAGGGTCGCTTGATCCGAGGTGGCTACTGCCGGGTCTGAACAGGCCAATGAGTTTGCCGAACTGTTCTCCAATGAAAACCGGTCCCACTATACCTGCCTGAAACAACACCTTTGCAAGGCAAGCTGCAGCATAAGAAATCATGCGATTGATCGTGGGATCAAGAATGTTCATAACAACCGCACCAGTCTCGGCAGTCAGCAGCGATAGTGCCACCTGCACTTCGAGGGTAAAACCGGAAGTACTAGCCGACGGCATCGAACGATCAGCAGCAGGAGGAGGAGCAGCGGCAGCAGCACCAGTAGGAAGAGGAGAGGTGCAGCAGGCGGAGCAGCATAGACTGCCGACAAGAGAGACCAACTCAACTCAAGAATGAGGACTGCGTAGCAGGCGGAGCAGCACAAACTGCCGAAAAGAGAGAGAGAGAGAGACAGAGAGAGGAATTCAATTCAATGGTGAATACAGATCAGAGATAGTCGAGATGGCTACAAACATCATGAACAATGGGAACACTGACGCTGCGGTCCCACCGGCACTGGAGGCACGTCATCAGCTTAGATGTTTGAAGGTGGCAGCGAATCATGCCCGCATCAGTTTTCACATGCTAGCAAGAGACTGATGATTGTGGCATTTGCCGGAAAATCATCTCAGCAAAACTGCGTGCAGCTAGAGTGGTGACACCAAGAACAACACCAGCAAATTCCCACAAACGGCAATTCTCCAACAACTACGCACGCTACACTCCCAACCCTAGGAATCCTTATTAACGCAACCCAAACCCCTAAACGTCCATGTACCCAAATAGATATACTTTGGCCTTAGAGTAGTCCCTATATAAGTACTTAGGGGCCAATGTATATACTATTTGGGTACATGGACCCTCAGGGAACAGGAACGTCACGGGAAGTGTTGAATGCACCCTGCCAGCAAATCTCAAAGGAACATTGACAGAGCGAGCCCCAAATCTCAAACTTTACGTGAAAGCGTTAAGCCCTATAACCTAAAGGTTTAGGGTTTGGGGTTTAGGGTAAAGCCTAGGGTTTAACTTTAAAGCCTAAACCCTGGCGGTTTTAGGCCCAAAACGAAAACCTAAACCCCCAACATCCCCCCAAGCCTATACCCTGAACCGTGAGGCCTACAGTCCGACTTAAACCCTGCCCCCCAGGCCCTAAACCCGAAACCCTAAACCCCAAGCCCTAAACCCTTAGCCCAAAGCCCCAAACCCCCCTGGACCCAAAGCCCTAAACCTTTAGCCCAAAGCCCCAAGCCCGAAGCCCCAAGCCCCAAACCCAAAGCCCCAGACCCTGAACACCCCAGCCCCAAACCCAAAGCCCCAAACCCGTAAACTCCAAGCCCAAAGCCCTGAACCCCCAAAGCCCCAATGGCGAGGAAAGCTTCGAGGTCCCCTGGAGCTGCCGCACGGTTTGCTGTAGGACCCGGACATCCTGGTAGGTTAGGGGTTTAGGGTTTAGGGTTTAGGGTTTAGGGTTTAGGGTTTAGGGTTTAGGGGTTTAGGGTTTAGGGCTTAGGGTTTAGGGGTTTGGGGTTTAGGGTTCGACGGAACTTGGTCTGTCTGGGACTTTTTGGTCAAGGCTCGTTTGATTCAGGGCTTGCCCTATGGCTCAAAATAGCCCACTAGCCTTAAATTGACATAGTATGGTCTTTGGGCCCAACAGCCTTATGAAATATGAGTACTTAGAGCTTTAGAGTCCCGTTTTGCACAGGGCTTTGGGTTCAGGGATTTTGAAGCGCTGCGTTTGAGGGTTTTCGTCTCTTGAGACTTTCTGTATAGCGTTCACTTAACTGAGAGGTTAGGGTTTAGGGCTTAGGGTTCAGAGTTTCCGATGTGTACAGGGTTTTAGGCTTCGGGTTCTTGCAAGGGTGCGTTTAAGGTTTCCGTCTGTTTGAGACTTGGGGCGTAAAGAGTTTAGAGTTTAGGGTTCATGGACAGTTTCCTACTGGTTACCTCAAGGGGGCTATAGGGGTGATCGAAGGGCTTCGGCTGCTGGGGACTTTGTTGGGTTTAGGGTCGAGGGTTTACGGTTTCGCATGCTTGAGACTTGTTTAAAGGTGTTTCCGGGCACACAGGTCGGGCTTCAGATTTTTGGAGAGTCTTTCAAGTGGTTCAGTGAAGGTATCTTTGAGGAGGCTATAGGGGTGACCCTAACCCCTGAACCCAAGGAAAGCCTAAACCCCAAACCCGAAACCCTAAACCCTAAACCCTAAACCCTAAACCCTAAACCCTAAAACCCTAAACCCTAGACCCTAGACCCTAAACCCAAGGCTCTAGGGAGGACTACAGCAGTTTAGCTTGCCCTACCAAGAGGCTCCAGGTCTCCACTTGAGCAAACCCCATGGATCCCGAACAAAAACCACGGTCACTTCTCTTAGGTTACAGGTTTTTTTGTAGGATTTAGGGCTGAGGGTTGTTGAGGCTCTGGTTGGTAAAAACTTTGCTGCGATGGAACAAACCTTTAACCTGCAAAAACAGTTGCAACAAACGGTCTTGAGGCAAGAAGCAGAAAGCCACAAACCCCCAACCCCAAAGCCCAAACCTTAAACTCAAGCCTCGAACCCTGGACCCCACACCTTAAAGCTTAACACCTTACCTTCCGGGAACTTGCCGCAGCCTCGAATCATTGGGCTTCTCGGTCCCAAGGCAACCCAGTACCAGAGAGTCTCACAGTATAGGGGCTCCCTTGTCATAGCCACACTACAATATGCCCCAGAACCATCTTCTATCACTGCCAAGGCCCTTATATGTACCCTATAAAGCCCTAGAGGACACTTCTATAAACCTGGTAAGGGCAGCTTAAACCCTGATCGCCCTAATCTCTAGGTCCTTTGCCTAAGCCCTGAAACCCCCTGGGGTTCTCGTTACATAATAGTGCTGACTAGTACTTTTAGGGTTTAGGGTTTAGGGTTTAGGGTTTAGGATACTAGTAACTAGTAGCGATGGTACGAAGAGTAATGATTCCAATAATATAATACTCATAGTAATAATCGTCACAATGGTAGTCGTAGTACTACCAGTCATAACAATACCAATAGCACTATGTGATTGAATTGGTAAAGTAGTCGTATTTATCGTAATCGCAATAGTACTAGTACTAATGCAACAGACCAACAGTAGTTACTACTAGTAATCACAATAACCGCATGTATCGTAATCGTACTAGGAACAGAATAACCCTACAAAAGCCCATGGCGATACATGCCCAGCTCATAACCATTATTCCAAATAAAGACACCCCTACATTATTCTGCTATATAGGTACTCAGGACCCTTTGGTTAGAAACCCTGAACCCTCAACTCTCAATCCTGCACCCTAAGGGCCCTAAACCCTAACCCTAAACCCTAAATCCCAAACCGTGAACCCTGAATCCTAAACACCTCAACCCTAAACCCTAATCCCCAACCCTAAACCCTAAACCCAAAACCCTAAACCGTGAACCCTGAACCCTATAACCCTTACCCCTAAACCCTGAACCCCAACCCTAAACCCAAAACCTTAAATCCTAAACCGTGAACCCCGAACCCTATAACCCTTAACCCTACAACAGCCCATTTCTCTAAGGCTCGAAGTATGGGCCCTAATGTGGACCCTTAGGCCTTTCTAGGGACCCTTAAGGGTACATATAGGGTATATAGTAGGTGTATAAGGATCCCAGGGTTAAGGGCCCATGCTAGGGGCCCATGGGTTCAACCTAAGAATTTCTCCGACGACTGGGGGGCTCCTCGCGTAGAGGCGCTGCCCAAAGATCGAAGGAGTGAGACGTCTGGCCGAAGGGGTTTAGGCTTTTGGGTTTAGGGCTTCAGGGTTTAGGGTATAGGGCTTAAGGGTTCAGGGTTTAGGGTTTAGGGATTTAGGGGTTAAGGGGTTTAGGGTTTAGGAGTTTAGGGGTTTAGGGTTTAGGCTTGGGAGTTTAGGAGCTTAAGCTTCAGGATTTTAGGATTTAGGGCTTGGGAGTTTAGGAGTTTAGGGCTTCGGGTTTTGGGGTTTTAGGGCTCAGGAGTTTAGGGCTTAGGGCTTAAGGCTTTTGGGTTGTAGTCAGCATTGTCGCGGCTACAGTAGCGGGAGGTGTCAGGTTGTTGAATGCCTGCTAGTTTAGAAGCTGAGTGGCGCATATACCGATCTGATTCGTTCGTTAGTTGCTTAACCGGCAGCTTAACCCCAAACCCTAAACCCTAAACAAACTATGCAGGCGGTGTTACATCTTTCTTTGGTTCGGTCGATACATTATTACCTAGACTTTAGAGAACCCACATTTTTTAAGGACTTAAATAAGGAAATCACAACAAGGAAACCTAAAAAGGGAGGTTCTTTAGAGTGCAGGTAGTCATTAGTCAGTCACCAAGACAGCCAGCAAAGGATGATGCTGAGAGTAAACAGATGAATAGCAACAACTGTGAAATGAGCCTTCGATCCAGAAGGTACAGTTCAAGTTCGTCAGGTCAGGATCGTAGTTCATATGTGCTAGCACAGGTCATCTTGAATTCTGGCAAGCATGAATTCAACAGCAACGGCACACAGATCAGGCATGTAGCCGTTTCGAGTTTCTTTGATAAACTTGGCATGCAAGCCGTTGTTGACGTACGCCACATTGTCTGCCCCACACCGGACTGCAGCAACAGCTGCAAAACCCGAGCAGGGTGACAAATCCACCACAGTGGCCTCCTCCTGTGATGTAGTTCAGGAACCCTAAACCCTAAACCCTACAAGATCTCGCTCAAGATCGTTTCTCGATGCTCCCATGGGCACAACGACTCTGCCAGAGCGCTGCCGTTCTCGAAGCCGTCATGCTCTCCGTCGCTCTACACCTGTTCGCCCCCGACCTGTGTGTTCGGTCCGATGGCGCCCATGATACTGTCGTCGATTCTGCATATCCCTGGCCAAAACTACGGTTGGTTGATGATATGAATCCTGCATTACCCATAATAAGGCAATATGCCAAATTCCCATAGTGTCGGGTCCTTAAGGTAATGCAGGATTTATATCATCAACAGTAGCACCAGGAATGGGTGAAAGAAGAGCCTGTGGGATCGTTTTGGATCATGGTTTCAGGCCGCCTGGATCTTCTGGTGGCTCAACCCTAAACGTTCCGGGTGTCGGGTGCATGCGTCGTCTTATTTGTGAGTGGTTTGTTCACCTTGTGCCTGCTCTACATGTATCTTACCGCGTGCGCAATTCGGAGAGCAAAAAAAAACCTCAGACTTAAAAACCTACGTAGAAGGTCGGATGACATACTAAGTAGGTAACACGCGGAGATTTGAGTGCCCTAAGTGGGATCCTAACTGGGGTTACGGTACTTATAGCTCAGAGAAATGCTACTTTGGAAGTCCACCGACCCTCCAAGACGTGGGCTTTCGGCAAAGTCGGGTTATCGAGATTGGCCTCGTAAAGTCTGGCGTGCCAGCCTGGCCCGAATGGGTTTTGGGGTTTAGGGGGTTTAGGGTTTAGGGTAGGGGCTTAGGATTCTTGGGTTTTGGGTTGAAACCTCTTCAGACAGTCAAGCGTCTCGGAAATCCCGGACGTGTGGGAACCTGCCTCCGCGCGAAAAGGAGCCAGCTCCTCTGTCGATGCAAAGAACCTACCTTTTAAGGGTTCCTTATTATGATTTCCTTATATAAGTCCCTAAAAGGAGTAGGTTATGTTGGGTCCAGGCAGTTCATCTAGAAGGGACATTCAATGTTTGGGGACTGCTAGGTTTAAGGTTTCGGGATTGGGGGTTGCGGCTTGCAAGGCCTTGGCATCGATTTTCGGGAGGCTCGCTCGCCAAGCAAGGTTTCTAGAGTTCAGCCAGGGGCTTGGGGGTTGGAGGATGTAGGAGTGAGTTGAAATGGAAGGCAAGCTCAACAGGAAAACCCTAAACCATAAACCCTAACCCCTAAACCCAAATCCTAAACCCAAACCCCTAAACCCAAACCCCTAAACCCAAACCCCTAAACCCAAACCCCTGAACCCAAACCCCTAAACCCAAACCCCTAAATTCCCTCCAACCGTGCCCTGAGGGTTCATGTACCCAAGTAGTATATATACGTTAGCCCCAAAGTACTTATATGGGGACTACTTTAAGGCCAGAGTATATATACTATTTGGGTACACGAACCCTCAGGTCAAATCCAGTTTTTACTGATAACCGTTTATATATATATATATACTCTTTGGATACATGGACCCTTAAACCCTAAAAGTTTGAACCCTTATGGTTCTCTTACAGAAAGGAACCCAGGCCAAAGTATATACTTTTCCTAGACCCTAAAGAACCAAAAAAAATTAGGACTTATATAAGGAAATCATAATAAGGAGCCCCAAAAGGGAGGTTCTTTAGGGTTTAGGGTGCATGGAATCTTGGGGCTGTAGCCTCGCGGAGGAGTTAACAGCTGATGCAGACCGCTCCGGAGGCTCCAGTTAATAGAGGGTTGGCAAAGAGGGTTTAGGGCCCTAAACCCTAAACCCTAAACCCTAAACCGTAATAATAAGGAACCCTTAAAAGGTGGGTTCTTTGCATTAACCCTAAGGGTCCAAGTACCTAATAAGCATATACTCTCCCAAATAATAACCTAAATAACTACTACCCGCAACCAAAGTACCTTATTATTGGGTCCTTTAGGACCCTTAGGGTAATGTAGGGGCCTTAATAATTAGACTAGGGTTCCTTTAAGGGGATCCTTGATAGGGGTTTCTTTAAAGGGTTCTATAAGGGATCTACTATAATTAAGAGGGTTCTAGAATGTAGGGGCCGTCTTAATTAGAATAAACCTTTGGGGCCCGTTATACTATACTTAGAATCCAGAACCCCCAACAACCCCCAAAATTGCCCAAGATAGTATTCGTAATTACTTAGGCCTCTATATTACGCAAAGCAGGAGCTACTGGGTTACATATTACATGGTTAGCAATAACCTAGTATTTAGGTAGCTTGGGCAGACAGGCGCATATTTTACGGTAAGTAACCTACTATTTAGGCAAATTTAGGCAAATGGAGATTCAGGGCACTGCCTTTTATCATCGCCACCACCACCACAACAACCACTGCCTGCGGTTTAGGGTTCCGGTCCAGGCACAACTCTCTCTAATTTAGTATAGCATCCATATATAATCTCGCGGTTGAGGACCCTAAAACCTAAACCAGTCCCATCCATGTCCCCTGAAAAAAATCTAAACGGTGCCGGGTAGCAGCGCGCAGCTGCGACGCCAGCTCTGCGACCTGGATGACCCCAGAACCCCCCAAACCCCCGAAGCAAGAAATGTAACAAACATCATGTTAGGCATCTTACTGGCTTACCCTTGGCATCAAAATAGCCCAAACGGCTTCTACAATAGGGTCTTTGGGCCCAAAAGCCTTAAAATATGAGTCCTTAGAGGGTAAGGGTTAGGGTTTATGAGCTTAGTGTTTAGGGTTTTGGATAACTTAAAGTATGGGCCTTAACTGAGGGAGATTGGGAGATCTGGCTCTTGGTGATTCTAGAGTTCCTTTCAAGCCTGCGAGACCCATGTACTCACACTGTTGATGATATAAATGCTGCAATACCTTAAGGGACGCGAAACTATGGGAATTGTGGTATACGCCTTATTTTTGGGCAATGCAGGGTTTACCCTAAGGGTCCATGTACCCCAAAAGTATATACTTTGGCCCTAAAGTAGTCCCTATATAAGTATGTTGGGGCCAATGTGTGTATATATATATATATATACATATACACACTATTTGGGCACATGGACCCTTAGGGTTAAGGACACTAAACCATGGGAATTGTGGTATACTCCTTATGTTGGGCACATGGACCCTTAGGGTTATATCATCAACAGTAGTTTGCAGCCAGTTCCAGGGTTCTGAAATGGGGTTTCCTGCAGCGTATCCCGTAAGTCCCAAACCTAAACCCTAAACCCTGAACCCTAAACCCTAAACCCTCGAAACACAAGCAGAGAACGCAGGAAGGAAGGTAGCTTTGATAACAAATCCCCGAACTTGATAGTTTGACATCTGAGAGAATGTGATTTAGAATGCCCTTCACTTCCTAAACCTCTCTTCCCTAAACCCTATACCCTAAACCCTAAACCCTAAACCCTAAACCGAAACCCTAAACCCTCTCTTCCCTAAACCCTGAACCCCTCTTCCTCCCGCGCCCCAGAAACTGCGCCTCTCCGCGTGTTTCTGCTAAGACCTCTGGCTGCTCGTCCTCGAAGGGAGGGCTCCGTCGCTTGCTCGTTTGCTGAAGTTGGGTTCAGGTTGGTTGTTTGGTTTAGGGTTTAGGGTTTAGGGGTTTAGGGATTTAGGGATTTAGGGTTTAGGGTTTAGGATCTTGAAATCAACCCTAAAGCCTAAACCCGTAAAGGAGCCTCTTAGACGACTCGGAGGTTCATGTGTTCTCTTGCTCCCTGGAACCTGCAGTTCATGCAAAGCAGCATCTCAGCTGGCAGTAGTAGTAGCAGTCGTCGTCGTCGTCGTAGTAGTAGCAGCAGCAGTAGTAGTAGTAGTAGTAGTAGTAGTAGCAGCAGTAGTAGTAGCACTTGTTGTGGTTGTTGTTGTTGTAGTCGTAGTAGTCGTAGTCAGTAGTAGTAGTAGTAGTAGTAGTAGTAGTAGTAGTAGTAGTCAGTAGTAGTAGTAGTCAGTAGTAGTAGTAGTAGTAGTAGTAGTAGTAGTAGTAGCAGTAGTAGCACCAGTCATAGGAGCAGTTGTAGTAGTAGTCGTCGTAGTAGTCGTAGCAGTAGCAGTAGCAGTAGCAGTAGCAGCGCCAGCAGCAGGTGTTGCTGCTGTTGTTGTTGCTGCTGTTGATGTGGCAGCGATATGCTAGTTCTGAGTATGGACCCCTCACACAGAACCAACAGGTCCAGGGCCTCCGTGCGCACAATTTCAAGCGCGTCCCTCAGCCCGCCTGCATCTCCAACTCCGGCACAGACGAAAAGCTCTTGTCCTGCTCTGTCGGCAGTTCCTAGTCCCACTTATATACATATATATGTACACATCTTGTACTATATAGTATACTTAGTCCTCTTCTACCTGTGTTGCTATTGTTCAAAATTTTGCCATCTCGACTCGTACATGATTTGGCATACGAACTTGGTGACCTTAGTCATAGAGTCTCCCAAGAGCTGTTGGACAGGGTTTAGGGTTTAGGGTTCAGCGTCCCATGAGGCCCATGATCCTCCAAGTAGGCTGTGCTCAGCAACCGTCCTCGTCTCCCCTGGAACTTTTCACGGAAGCCTTGTGGAAGGGCGCATGGAGAGTGCTGGTACAGAGGTCAGGCTGCAAGGCAAGCCGTAAGGGCCAAGTGCCTTATGACCATATATTCGTCCAGGGTTTAGGGTTTAGGGTATATAGGGTTTACGCCCAAATGTGAACCGTCTAGGGTTTAGGGTTTAGGGTGTATAGGGTTTAGGCCCAAATGTAAATCTAGATAGGACCCTTAGGCAAGTGGCTTCCGCTCTGCGTAACTACGCGTGACAACGGAACTGCAAGTACAGTAGGGGCCTTATAAATTTAGAACAGGGTTCTGGGCTCCTTTAACGTATAAATGCACAGGTATAACTAAGAATCACCTAGGGGCTGCAAATAGACCATCGTAGGCAGTATTTTTAGACTCCCCTAAACCCTAAACCCTAAACCCTAAACCCTTCTAGAGACCCCAAAGTCGCTCCGATGTCTATACTTGGCGCCCCAGGGCAAGGAAGCCTTACCTTAGGGACGAAACGAACCCTAAAAGGGTTTAAGGTTCATATACCATATAGGGATTCATAATATATGGGAATAAGGCCCCTACTTTTAAGGGTCATTCGGTCCTCCAGGTACAGCCTAAAGCCCTAAAGCCTAAATACCCCAAACGCTGAGGAACCATCTTTGTAATTTAATTAGACTTCTATATCCCTGAGGGTCCATGTGCCCAAATAGTATATGCGTTGGCCCCAAAGTACTTCTATAGGGACTACTTTAAGGCCAAAGCATATCTATTTGGGCACATGGAACCCTTAGGGTATGGTGCATCACCGGAGCAGGGAGTCGGCGCGCAAGTCTGCAACCCCTTTCAGAGGCCTCAAGAGGTGGGATGAAGGTCGGTAGGGTTCAGGGTTTAGGGTTTAGGGTTTAGGGTTTAGGGTTTAGGGTTTAGGGTTTAGGGTTTAGGGTTTAGGGTTTAGGGGTTTACGGTTTAGGTATCCCTTTTGGCAAACAGGACTCTTATTTGGGATTACCCCACCTACCTTCATCCCACCGCCAGAGCCCTGTGAACCCTGAACCTTAAACCGTCATGTTGCCGGTGACTTGCCCAGCGACGGACCAAAGGCCCAAAACAAAACTACCGCAGGGAGCCTTTGGCAGTTCGAATAAGGCTCTGCGGCTTACTAGACAATACCCTAAGGTCCAAAGGACCCGATGTACTTTGGCTGCGGATAGTAGTTATCTAGGTTAATATTGGGAGAGTATAAGATTATTATAAATATACTTGGACCCTTTAGGATAAGTGTATCGGGATGAAAAAGCTAATGATTCAGATTCAGATCCCTACATTTCAACAGCCGATGGCTCGCCTGGAATCTGGAAAGCAGTGCAGAGGCCCGCCGTAGAGGTCGGTGTTGGAATAATTAGCACTAGTACTCTCTTGTAGTCTTTTAACATCGAACCAGAGCACAAACCGCAAAACCTTATAGTCTAAGCATTAAGGCCCCTCCCTAAACCCCTGAGCCCTAAACCCTAAACCTTGAGCCCTAAACCTTGAACCCTAAACCCTGAACTTTAAACCCTGAACCCTAAACCTTGAACCCTAAACCTTGCACCCTAGACCTTGAACCCTAAACCCTAAACCCTAAACCCTAAACATCCCAGGCGTTACGCTGTAGTGGCTGTGCTCCGAGGAACCAAGAGCTCCTTCCGCAACTGCTTCTTTGCCTGCCGCAGCAATGCCGGACCCAGAGACTCCAATATCCCTTAATTAAGGAATATACCTTAAACCATATTAGGGATCCTACTATGATTTAAAGTATATTCCTTAA